ATTTCATAATTCTTTTTATTTTATTATTTTAACTTTTTAATTATTTATTAATTTTCATGAATTATATTTTTAAAATTTAGCAACAACATTTTTGCTAAATTGAAAAATGAAAATAAGGTAACCTTTCAGCTTCTTGCTTTCCAATATTTATATACTAATAAATCGGAGTGTAACAGAGCTTCTATTTTTTTAATTGATGTTGCCTTTTTAATTTTATTTTTACACTTTAAATTTTGTTTGGTTCAAGGGAACAAAAGGGGAGGAGAGGGGAAGGGAAGTGAGAGGAGAGGAGGAAGGGGAGGGAAGGGAAGGAGAAAGGAGGGAGAGGGGAGGGGGACTCCCCTCTAATTTGGAGGGAGAAGTTTTGGAGGGAAAGAGAAGGGCCCTCCACCTTACCAAGCAAGGGGAGGGGAGGGGAAATTTTCCACCTTCCCCTCCCAACTAAACAATACCTTAATGGTGTGTTTGGGTGGGGGTTTTTGAAGGTTTCCTCTTTTGTTAAGAAATTTTGAAGCACTCATTTCACATTGCTCCTCTCTAGTTTGTTTTTGTTATTCCTCCTTTGGAGGATAGCTAAAATCCTGAACAATTTTTCCCTCATAATCATGAATACTCTATTTTGTCCGAACTTTATAAAAATGAGTAAATAAACAAAAATAATAATTGAAAAGCTTTTTTTTTAACAAAATAATGAAAAAGAAATTAAATGAAAAAATATTGAAATTTGTGCATTGATATTGAATGGTGAAAATTAAATAAAATTAATCATAAAATTGTGATTTGATGTGATTTAATCATTAAAGATGCAAATCCTAATTTTCATCTATAAAAAAAGTGGGGGTGAAAATGAGGAGGAGGTGAAGAGAAGTTGTTAGAGGGGAACATGGGAGAACTTGAAGAAACAAGCAAGAAATATTGAAAGGAATTTGTTATACCTTTGATTTTGTTTTGCACGTTATGTGTCTAGAGTATTTCTTATGCCAATGAACACCTTGATGACAAGGAAGCATGTACATATCCAATCTCTAGACACATCTTCTCTTCCTTTCATTATATTTTTTCCATCTTTACAGATTGTTGGCAAAGCATTCCTTGTTATTACGCCCAGGAAAGGGAATTGACATTTTGTGGCCAAGTTTTTATCTCATCCTATTCTACACATGTTTGCTTTGCCTTGATGATCAGAATTGACGTGTCGCATGTGATTGTTTTCAAGGATTCAACCTCCTTGTATAAACAATCACACTTCTTTTTTTATGTTCAATTTTCTCACCTTCTATTTCAAGTGTGTATTGTGCGAAGGTACAAATGTTAATAGGCATGTGTACTTTGCAACAGATTCCAATTCGATTTTCGAGGGATGTTAACTAATGGATGATTGATGCACTATTTGGTTTGGCTCCTTTTTCTCGCTCCATTCACCTTGTTTAATGTAGTGTGATTGCATGGCTTGATGGATTTGATCTTTTCCTTAACGCACATTTTATTTAGTTATTTAATTTATTTATTTTGCTTTTTTTTTTAAATTTTTGATGTTAACTTATATCATGTGAGATTTTTAAAATCTTCACAGATACATGGTTAATTTGTATGCTGTGTGTAGTAATGGACTACCGCAAGTACACTAATCAAAATGCTTAATTTGTATATAATGTTTTTAAATCCATTTTTAAGGGAAAAATAAATAAATAGATTTAAAAATAATTTTTATATCATATAATATTTTAGAATTTTCACAAGCGTGAAATAATTAATTTTTGCTTGAGCAAAGATACGAAACCCAATCAAGAAAATAATTTTCAAAAAATAAAAAATATATCTTTTTTCTAAAAGTCACCAACAAAGTGACACACACTTTTATTCTCAAATTATGTAGGCTTTGATTTTTAAAAGGTACATAGGCCCTAAGATTTTATTCTAGGTCAAGTCTAACTTGTAAATAACTATTATTTTTTAATTTAATTTTTCTTCTTCTTTCTTTTCTTTTGTTTTTGTTTTATTAAGGGTAATTAAATTTTATTTAAGGCTATATTAATTTTATTTGGTCAATTTAAAGTAACCGTTCTCACAGATATGAAGTGTCTAACACCTTTTTCATATACAATCGACTTTCGAATCCTATTTTAATTATTGTAAATTATTTTATTTTTTTCAAAGGTTTTTAAAATTATCGTTTAAAAATTTTGGTGATACTCCTATAGTTATTTTTTTTTATGGAGATTACGATCTGGATGCGACAACAACCATTGCCTATTGGATTCATTCACTTCGCCGGCAAAAATAACAGCTTAGCTAGTAGCAAAAACAAAAGATCAAAATACAGTACCTTGGGGAAAAGAGAAAGCCAGAACAGTGTGCAAGGGAGAGAGAGCGAGAATTGAGAGCGAGCAAGCGAGAGAGGGCGAGAAGTTGAGAGTGGGAGATCGAGGGTGCCGCGTATTAGATGAGACACAGCATGATGAAGAGGCCGCAGACACTAGGGATAACGGGCTCAGGACGAGTATTTTTGTTTCTAATACTAAAATGAAAGCATGATGAAAAAATTGATAAAAAAAGTCTCAGTTAAAAGAAAAAGTATGCTTAAAATTAAGTTAAATTTAAAGATCAAATTAAATATTTTATTTATTAAATAATATAAATAAATGACCAAATGTCTCCCTCTTTAAACAAACAAAATTAAAAAAAAAACCTGCCTGTTTAACAAGTGCACCTCAAGCCAGAAGAAGCTTTGCACCTCAACCAAATTCTTTTACCTCAAGCCAAAAGCATTGCATCCAAGTTAAAAGTCGTGCATCTCAAGATAAAAGCCTTACACTGCAAACCAAAAGCCTTAAACCCATGATAATAAAAATTACAACTTACTTTTTTGGTTTCTGGGTTGAGGTGCATGACTTTTGACTTAGTGTAAGATTTCTAACTTAAGTATAAAACTTGTGGCTTGGAATGCAAGGCTTGTGATTGGGGTGCAAGGTTTCTGACTTGGTTGCAAGGCTTGTGATTGGAGGTGTATGTGTTGAATAGACAATTTTATTTTTTTTAATTTTATTTATTTAAATAGAGAGACATTTTAGTCATTTGATCATATTATTTAATGAATAAAATATTTAATTTGGTTCTTAAATTTAACTTGATCCTTGGCACAATTTCTTTTTCGACTAGGTCTTTTTCATCAATTTTTCCAAGCATGATTATAAAAACTAATTATATTAAAAAAATTTCATTCAAGCCAAATATAATATTACCTAGCCATCCTTGGCTCCTAAGCCTTTTTTTTTTTCAAGTATGGTTACCCATCTTCATTTGTTTCTTGCAAATATACATTATATATGAATATAATAATAAATTAATTATTAATTTCTCTCTGTTTTTTTTCGTTCTAAACTAAAAAAATATTATTAAAATTTTTTTCTTTTCCTCCCCTTCACTCAAACCAAACAGAATCTAAGTTTACTAATAGTATTTTTTTTTATTTGGCATGAATAAATATTTCTTTTTTTTTGCCAAAAATTATTTCAACTCATCCTATTTTACCCTTTCTTTCCAATAAATTTTCGGCCGCTGGAGCTTTGTTAGTTGTGGATTTCTTTTCTTTTGTTTTTTTAGATGGGCAATATGACTTATTACCATGTTACAAAAATTATGTAAAAAAAATCTAAAAATTTCAAAAGAATTAACCTATTTACTATTTAGGCTCCATTTGGTATGACTGAATAGTTTTTGATAAAATTAAAATTAGAATTAAAATTGAAATTATAATTGAAATATAATTATATTTTAAAAATATGTTTGGTATGTTATAAAAAATAAATGAAATCCTTGTATTATTTTTATTTGGTATGTAAGACATAAAAATAAAATTATACTTAAAAGATAAAATTATCCTTAAAAATTAAAATCAAAATCAAAATGTATTAAAAGCTTAACTGTGATTTAATTTTTCATATACTGTTTAATATACAAATGAAATATTATATAGATGATAGATATTAAAAATAAGTAAAATATTTCATAAAAAAATATTATAAATATATAAATTATATGTAAAAACACACCCACACACACATTACGATTTATATATAGTTGAGAGAGCAAGGAATGAAAACACAAGAGTTGGGCATTTTGAATCGTCCTTGTCATGATCGTCTGCATGCTCGATTCTTTTGATATTAATGACAAATGAGTAAGTGCAGGGTTGTCTTTTCTACTTTTATATAAGGATAAAATTGCCTTCAAAAAATATAATGTCATAGCTCCTACCAAAAAATTCAAGTAAGCTCTTTTTACTTGAATCAAAATTTTTAAAAATTTAAATTTACGTATACCAAACATTATTATTTCATAATTTCAGCTCCAATTTCTTTTTTAAGTTTATGATTCCACTATCCAATCATTTAATGATTTTTTTTTCCACGGTTTGTTTATTTGGGATACTTTTATGTCATTCTCTCATTATTTTTTTCAGTTTAACAAATTAATTAAATACTTATAGCTGTGACGTAAAATTATATACGTTGAATAAATAATTAATAGAATAAATGAGCAAATTATTTTTAATTTTAGATTCAATAATATTATAAATTTTAAATTTATTCAATATGAAAATTATTGTTTTAACTTTTAAAAATGATATAATCTTGGTATTACTATTAACAAAAATTGATTTTGATAATAAGTTGATTAGAAAAAGATAAAATATTATAAAAAATTATAATAAAGAATTCAAAAATTATGAAAAAGGATAAAAAGATTTCAGATCTTTTTCTGTAATTCTTGAAATTATTTTTTATCTTTTTTTATTAATTAATGGTTAAAGTTAATTTTTATTTGTGGCAGAAATTACAGTACATTAGTCTCAAAAAATAATTTGCACAAGTTTAGAGTTTACCGTGTTTCTAAATGTAAAGTTAAGGGGTAATTTATTGATTTATTCTAATTAATGTGTATTTAGGTAATTAGGCAACCAAAACGAGCGCATCATGTTTGACGGTTTGAGCGGTGCTTTCCCAAATCTGTAAGGCGGCAAACTCTGTTAGGGCTTCAGACGCGAATTGCAGACTGAGAAGTCCAAGTTACGCAGTAGAGCTTCAGATACGAAAATTGTTTTCACTCTTCTGCAGTTCCAAGTTTTGCGATAGGCAAACGCTTCACCGAAACACGAGGGACTCAGGAATTTTGAGAGCTGTGATAATCGATAGCACAAAATTTTGCCATTTCTGCCGACGTGTTACTTTCACACTCTCATCCTTTCTTTCATTCTGATTTCAGGCCACCATGATCAAACTTCTCGTTTCTAAAAATGTCTCTATTATATCATCCTTTTCTTCCTCCTCACAATTAGTTCGTCCTCTTCTTCTGCAAATTTGTCACTTCTCAGCCTCGTCGTATAACCATTCATTCTTGAGACCCCATGATGATGAAACGCGAAATGTACCCATTTCAGTGTGGTGGGAGTTCGATAGTTGTAATTTACCTGTTGATGTCAATGGGTATAGAATCACTCACTGCATAACTGAAGCTCTTAGGACCAAAGGGATAAAAGGGCCGCTTCAAATCAGGGCTTTTGGTGACGTCTTGCGACTCTCAACTGCCAATCAGGAAGCTCTCTCTTCCACTGGGATAAATCTGGTCCACATTCCCAATGGTATGTGTCCTGTATCTGTAGGAATGATTAACGTTTGCCTTTTCGTTTGCCAAATGTTTAACGCATAGCATTACATGGCATTCATACTAGTGCGTTTATGCTGAAAAGGTGGCGTGTTATACTTAACGTTATGCATCTCTAGAGGCATCTTCCATATTGTTTACAACATGTCCATAATATTTCACTATTTTGTTGTTGTTATCACTTATCTCCAACTATAAACCATCCCATCTATCCTAATTTATAGTTAATTTTTTTTAAGAAAAGGCAATTGCTTGTCGATATTTAGTACCAATTAAAGGCTAAAGATAAATATGAATTTTTATTTTAAAAAAGTCAAGAATCAAAATATTCCTTTTTAAGTAGCGAGGGAGCTTGATGGGAATTGTTACCCTCTTATGCATCTCTTTAAGATAGCTTTCCACTACTTGTTGTTTATTGTATTGATCCTTGTTAGCTTTTTCAAAATATTTTTATCTTTCGCTACTTGATTGTAGGTGGAAAAAATCCTGCTCATGGATCTCTTCTTGTTGAACTTATGCATTGGGTTTCCAAAAATCCTCCACCAGCACATCTGTTTTTAATTACTGATAATAGGGTTTTTGCTGATATGTTACATCGTTTAAGGTTGGATAACTACAACATCTTGCTTGCAACACCAGCAGGGGCTCCTAAAGTTCTCTGCAATGCAGCAACTATAATGTGGCATTGGAATTCATTAATTAGAGGACAAAATCTTGATGGAAAACACTTTAATCACCCTCCTGATGGTTTGGTTGGTTCTTGGTATGGGCACCATAAGGTGCCTCTTGAAGACCCTTACTTGGATGGTGAGCAGTCACTGATTGAGGAGATATCTTCACCTATCTCAGATTCAGTATTATTTAAAATTCCAAAGGAAATTGTGAAACAAGTTCAAGAAGTTTTAAACTCATATCCAAGAGGTATCTCTGTATCAGACCTTCGAGCAGAAATAGCAAAAGCTGGTATTTGCTTGGATAAAGACTACTATGGTCATAAAAAGTTTTCTCGCTTTCTTTTGTCAGTGGCAAATGTACAGCTTCGGCCTGGACCTGATAAAGTACTTTTTGTTTTTCCAATCCCCCAAAAATGGCCTGGACCATTTGATAACAGTTCTGTACCACCAATAGCATCTTTTGAAACTGTTGATGGTGAGGAGTTCAACCAGGTGGCTACTTCAAAGTTAAGTGGTGAGGTGGAAAAGGTGGTTGAGGATGCAGATGTGAAACCATCAGCAGTATCTGTTGATGGTGAGGAGTTGAAGCAGGTGGCTGCTGCAAAGTTAAGTGGTGGGGTGGCAAAGGTGGTTGGGGATTCATATGTGAAACCATCAATGGCTTCATCTCTGGAACTTAGTGCAGAAGGTATTCCAGAAAAGGTCCAACAGGCTGTGGATATGGTTAATGCACATGTAACTGAAAGTCAATCGCCTTTGAAGGAGAATGAAATTCCTAGCTCTAGCGATGTAAATCTGAGTGTCACAGAGAAATTTGCAACTTCAGAGAATTATTCTACTGACCAAAGCAACATAGTTTCAGAAAAGAATGGCTCTTCAAATGATATTTCTGTAAAGTTAAAAGCTGAAGATGAGCATGTGAAACCCACAAGAAAGGAAGCTGATGCAGTTTCTAACATTCCTCATTCTCTACAAGTTGATGAATCTGTGATTGACAAAAGCATTGCTGGAAGCACTGAACCTCACAGCAATAATTCTGGCAAACGTCAAAGTTTCTTTTCTTGGATTAGCAGGTGGTGGCCATTCTGGAAAAATGGTGGAAACACTAATAATTTGACAGATCAACCGAATGAGATGCTTAGTAATACTGAAGAGCCCAAGTTTTCAAACCTGAACCAGGCAATTTGTCATTCTGAAGAGTCTGAGTCGTCAGATCTAAAACAAACAGTTTATCATTCTGAAGATTCTAAGTTTACAGAACAGAAACAAATGGTTAGTCACTCTAAAGAGCCCAAGTTATCTGAACTGAGACAGACAGTGAATCATTTTGTGGAGCCTGAGTTGTTTTCTAGTAGTTCCTTTTGGAGTGACATGAAATCTTTTGTTTTTACTGCCAAAGGATCAACTCTAATTTCCCGTTCTAAAAGCAGGTTAGTGAGGATAATAGCCCTTTACTGCTCATGTGAAGGATTTTACAGTTGCTGTACATTAAGTATTATGTTGAAAGAGTAATTAAGTAATAATATGCATTAATCATTATGCTGTTTTGGCAGGAAGGATTTGATGCAGAAATTTCAAAAGTATGGGCCCCAGGTTCTTAGTTCTTGTAGTGAAAATGATCTCCTTCAACTGGTGGATTTGTTGATATCTGAGAAAAAATGGTTGGAGGAATGGCCCTCTCTGACCTTTCCTTTCCGTGTTGCCCTACAAACTGGGAAGAACTCAGTGGGCTTATCACATGGTGCAACTGGTTTGAGATCTCTCTTTCTAAACAAAGAAGCACGGAGCACCTTGCAAAAATCATCAGAAGGTGATATCGATAAAAGATATCAGAGTGTCCCTCACACTGGAGTTTCTTCTTCTGCCATTAAAGATAAGCACACTGAAAAGTCGAGAACTGACATGTTAGCAGATATTCAGAAACTTGTGGGTGAGACATTGAGAGAACACTCAGATGGGTATAATATAAGTATGATACCAAAACTTTTTCTGGAGAGGTATGGCTATCCTCTTGATGTTCAGAAGCTTGGTTATCAAAAGTTGGCAACCTTATTACAGATTCTGCCTGGAGTGAAAATGGAGTCATCTTACATCTTTCCAGTTTATCATCCCGTTTTTGCTTCTGATGTGGAAATGTCAGCTCTCAATACTTTAGTGAACAATTCTAGTGATGCTGGGCCGGATTTGGATAGAGAGTCATCTGATTCAAGCGCTCAAGATGGCCGCAAAGACACTCTATGGGAGGAATTAGGACCTGTCTCAGTTGCCAATCCCATCAGGAGTGACCTGGAAGCAAAATCAAGGCACGAGGCTATAAAGCTGGAGACTGCAATGCATCCTGATTATGAACCTTCACTCTCTGATGATGATTCTTCTGAATCTGAAGGAGATAGCTCTTGTTTAACTCAATCAGAAGAGGAAGGACGCTCAAGACGTAATGTGGAAGACAGTTCTCTTTTACAAACTCTGGAGTCATTTTACAGAAGTCAGGAAGAGGATAGTGTGAAGTCAGAAAATATGGATGCCAGAAGCAATGGGTTGACTGATGGTTTACATTCATCCAGGCATTTCATTCCAGGAGCACTTTCCAAAATTCATTCAGGGGTGGTGCATAAAGAGAAGCAAAAACCTCACAAGAGATATTCATTCATTGCTGACCCGGACTCACGTAAGAAGGACGAGCTAATCGATGGAATATTACAAAATTTGAGGAAATCAGATGAGTTGAAGGTGCAAAATTGAAAATTCCTCGAGTTCATAGATTCTAAATTGGGATCCGGTCATAGTACCTGAGAATAGAAATAAAGAGATTCTAACAAATTAGGATTACTAACAAACTCAGGTGGTGGCATGTTTCTTTGCATCACGCGCGCTGCGCTTTTTTGCTGGCCATGGTACTAACAATTCTGTAAGAGACGATTGCTATTATGGAACTGTGTTCTTTTAAAGACCCTTGTTTTACTGCTGGATCAAATGGAAAAGGGTAGGACTGGGGTAAGGGTGGTTTCTAGTTCAACCTCTTAATGGAAAGAAGTGGGGAAAAACCTTGTTTTACTAACAGACACTGAGAAAATTGTTGTGTATGCAACATGTGAACCACCCTGAAAGAAAGATTTGGAGATTCTCTCCACGCCACTCTGCTTTAGATGAATTGGACAAACAGGGATAAATGAAGTGGATAATGTGTGTAAACTACGAAGGCTGAGGAAGTTATGAATGAGAACAAAGAACAACAGACGGCAGGCACTTCTTGAGTAACTTGTAAGATCAACTTTTTTCCCCTTAATTACTTACTCGCTTTATTTACAACTGTTTGGTTGGATGGATTTGTTTTTTTTTTTAAGGGAAATTAAAAGAGGGAGGGTGATGAAGAGTGGCTTCTATGAAGAAAAGGTGATTTTTGAGTTTGAAAATGTATTCGGTATGTTGAAGAAACCATGTTTTCCCCCTTTTGTTGCATTGGATGTTTAGTATGAAGTGATAATGAAAGGACGCAAAAGAATCAAAGTTATCAAATGACATAAGTATTTCTTATTAAATTAATCAAGTTGAGTATTCAAAATTATTAGTACAATTTCAATATAAAAATAGAGAACTAATATTTGCAAGAAAAATGGCACTTAATCATTATTGATATAAAATAATATTTATTTTAAAAATTTATAAATTAAAATATTTTAAATAAGAATGACAAAATGGTTTAGCTATTAAGATCACTTGAAGGGGACTTATGTCCCTTAGATGAGGGAAATATGAATTATGTTTAGTCCCTTCTAAAAAATACATATAGTTCTTATTAATAAGAAATAAATTTTGCACAATCCCTTCTAAAAACTACACTTCGTCCCTCAATAAATTTATTTGTCCCCGAAAAAAAATGTTTAGTCCTATTTTTTTAAAAATTGAAAAACACACACTTCCTATTATATTTAGTAATTAAATACATTGTTTCTTAAGTAATTAATTTTTATAAATTTTATTTGTATATTAATTAATAAATATTTAAAATTATATTTTCATAACATAATATTTATTTTAGACATAATCTGCTTCTACTACCTAATTAGGTTTAGGTTCATTATTGTTCTTTTGTAACTTAAATAATGTATATTAAACATTTTAAAATAATGAATTCTCTTCGTCTTCTTTCTTGAGTTGAGAATGCTTTCATCCATGCAAAATAGTAAAATCAAAGTGTTGTCTCATACGTAGCTTCAAGTTTGAGAAACAAGTAGGCATATAAGTTGTCAAACAATAGATTTTATATTTTATATTTTATTTAGTTTTTTTTTGCCAATAAAGTTTTATTTAGTGAATTTGTGTCATTTTTGTTATGTTTTTTGAAAGTTTCCAAAAGATCAACTTAATAATGTCCCCTTCTTTCCTATTTATAGAGTGGGAAGAAATTTTTTCCCCCTTGTTTATAAATCACTTCATTAATTTTTTATCACAAGTTTTTTTTTTGGTTGGTGAGAAAACTTATGTTATCAAAATATCTATATTTAATAGAAATAAAATTAAAAATCTATTAAATTTTTAGATGGAGCTTATAAGTTTTGAAAATTTTTCTTGATTCAAGTGAAATATGTTAAAAATAATTTATAGCTCCTCAGCTTTGCTTAAAAGTTAAATCTAATGTTTATGGAGTTTGTGTAATTTGATCATCCTTAATTATCTCTAACTACAGCATAATTTCTGTGTATAATTGAAAAAATGAAGTCTAGAGAGCTTATTTTTTTTTTTTGGTTCAACCAACTGGATTATCATCAAACTCTTTATATAAAGTTAAATTATTGATTTTTATAATTTTTTTAAACAATGCTATTGAATATTTAACTTAATGTTGTTATGTAAGTAAAATAAATAACTTTAGTCTCCAAAAAAAGTAACTTTAATTTAAAAGTTATTTTAATTTGAAAACACAAGTTCTCAATATATGTTAACAATCATTTATTCTGTTTACACCCATGTATTGCACCGGGCACATATTAGTTTATATAATAATAAAGTCATAATCAATAAGGGTAAGTATAGTGAAAGAAGTTAGTCTCTCATGATGTGATAAATCAATATTTAAATCATTGTTAGGAGATGTATTTATATTTGATGCTGAATTTTATCTCAAATAAGATTACTTCTAATAATAGTAGAATGTAATCAACTGGAGCAAGTTTAGTGAAAGAAATTAGTCCTTCACAATGTGATAAATTAATATTTAAATATTTGTTAAAAAAATATTCGCATTTAATGTTAGATTTTATTTTAAACAGATTACTTCTAATAATAGTAGAATACTGTAGGAGGAAAAATCATAGCTCACCCCTTCGTTCCCTTGCGCCAGACGCGGGTCAGCCAACGAGCGGCACGCCGAAACGAAGAAAGGTTCAAAAAGAAAACGCAATCCATGTCCCTGAAGTGTAGGCCATGTGGTTGGGTTGGAGCGTTGTGCACATGCAACAATATCGCCCCAGCCACTTCACTTTCAATTGCCTACAAAACTGAGTTTTCCAAGACACAGTATTAATTGCATCACCAACCCAAACAAATTTTTAATTCACTTCCTTCGCTTCTGGACAAATGACCAGCCACCACCTCGTGTCCACGCTAACTCCACCCTCTCTTGTCTCTAACAAATACTAAACAATGCAAATATCGCTCTCATGTACCTTACCTATCCCCCATAAAAAAATATTTATCTTTTTCCCATGTAAAAAAATCATCAAAGAAAAGGTTATTGGAAGGCAAAACATTAGATAGATAACGATTAACCAGATTAATTATGTTTTTCTTTTGTTTTGTTTTTTTAATACACGTAATTTGCCATTTGCACCCAACAATATTGCATTACCAGTGCCTACCCTGAGAACCGCCGCCACCTTTGTTCTTTGCAAAGAAGGCATTCTTGGGCTCTAGGGATCTCATGGATGTCCATCACCTGGATCGTTCTTTATCTTTTGGCTATACACAAAATCACCAATCGCAAGTCAGTGTAGCCATTGACAAACAGGCAGGTTGAGAATAGCTATCAACAAGAATCACATTAAATTAGGAACAGTGGTTCCACCATTTTCAGCCTCTTTGTAGTTCTCTTGAAGCCATCTTCTTGCCGAAGCAAGTCTCTCCACTTCAAAGTTGCTATCTCTCTGTTCTCTCTTTTTCTGCAATCATTTTAGCTTTGGGTCAGCTGGCTGTCCCACACTTTCCAAAATTAATTCTCGAAGGGAAAACAAATTCCTAAGATAATAGTTCTAATTAAGCTCCCGCACTATCTACAAAATTGAGCAAATTTGATCAAAATCATGCGGACTCAACTGAGCTAAACTCGACATTTATTGCATTTTTGGTTTTTAGTTGTTAGTATTTTGACCGCATGAGCTCCAAATTCTATTTTCATCCTCCGTATATATAGCAACCAAATTCAGAGTCGTCAGCCATGGACTCCAAAAAGGTTATAATTCATGTTCATACGTTTTGGTGGTTTTGGCGGCGCTCTTCGAGAAACTGTTTTTGGTTTTGGTTCAGCTTCTGAATAATTCCGCTCTGACCCAAAACTCCCGCATGTAAAAGCAGGAAACACACGAACAGAATGCTAGTTAACAATCAGGTACACAAGATTGAATTGAATTATATAAGCTTTGAATCAAATACTATACTTACAGTGAGGATTAGGCGAGTATGCAAAATCAGGAATCTGAAAAGCGAATTGGAGCATTAGAAAGCAAAAACAAACAAGCATATCTCTTTAGGCATCTTTCCCAGGGAAAAGGCGCATGAGGAGTTCTTTAACCTGATTGTGCTCGTTTTGAGCGTTTTTCTCCGGAGGCGAACCTCCATTAGCTGTCAAAAGCATTAATCACAAGTTTATTTTGGTCTGAACATTGTAATTTCTACTCTAACTTTCAAATTTTTCCAGAAAGATGATTCAGATTACTTATGATAGAAGCAATATCGCCTGGTTTATATACCTTCACCCATTCATCTACGATCTTCTTCCATTTCCTGGTCAGGAACAGAATAATTACAGTTAATCTCTCAGGTAGTAAAATTTCAACATTTGCACATGTTTGCTTTTTAAATAATTTTAGGATCTTTCAAAACTTGACAAGTAGCGTCACCAATCTCTGAACATCATTGGATGGATGCTTGCACAATCGATTTACATGCCTCCCAATATTAATTTCCACTACTATAAAATAGACTTTTTACATCACATTTTTAGACATTTACACGTCACAACTAAAAAGAATATCATATTGGACAACTTAAAATAATAATTTATTTACATCACAAGTCTTGTGATGTGAAAAATGATAAACCACATCCTCCTTTAATAACAGGGGATGTGATTTTTACAAAATCCACATCCTCATTAACCAAAATGAGAACGTATTTTTAGAATAAAACACATCCCTTTTTTAATTGTGGATGTGAATTATAGAAAAACCACATCCCCTTTCAATTAGAGGGACGTGGTTTCTCATCAACTAGGTAGAAGGATGAGAAACCATGTCCCCACTACTAATAGGGGATGTGGTTTCTCATTTTCTAGTTTAAGAAACCACATCCCCCTGTATTGAGGGGGACGTGATTTTCTAGCTGCATTCACAATGCATGTGCCTCTTTAGTAGTAGGGATATGTGGTTTTTAAATTTTTTTTAATATACAATTTGCATTTACTTTACAATTAAAATAAAATCTGTCAAAGTATGCTATAAAGATAGCCAATTCATATAGCGAAAGTCCAGCAAATAGCAACTCATTTATAGCTTTTCATACACTATCACAGCAAAATATATCAAATGCAATGGAACAACAAAACTATTGTCACCTATTCAAGTGTCAATATTTACAGCTAAATTCCAACAAACTATGAAATCACTATGTAAATAGCTCTTGAAGAACTTGCTAAACTGTTTCAAATGTCACTTATGTCTTCACTGGTATAGGTGTACTTGTCAAAAATTTGCAAATTTTCATCTGATGTTTATTAGATAACCAAATTCTAAAGCCTTGCAAAACTAATATTATTAAAATAAATAAGAATGTATTTACCATGTGTAAATTTTCACTAATTTCGGATTGAATAATCTCATACATATAACGGATAATATAATATCCACACTTTGTACTCCCTATCTGGTGATGGCAATGAAAAATACAAATCGAACAATAAATATAAACAAAAGTATATATGAAAAAAGTTGTGGATAAAAAGTATTGAATTGAAATTATTTATGTTTGAAAAAATTTAAGTCGGTGAGGGATTTTTTTGAGATACATTTTTTGCTGGGTGGCGCTTTCCCCCAGTCATATAATATATCTTCAACGATCTATCATGAAATTTAAATAAAATATAAAGTATTAAAATAAAATAAGTATCTAATATTTATAAAAATAATCTTAACTTACATGTTGAATATATTTTTAATTTCAGCACTCGATTGCTTGTCCATGGAACAAAATCAATAGATCTCGTGCAAATACGGGCGTACAATACAAAGAGACTAATGGTAATTACAAAGAAACAAATTAAATTAGTACATGAAAGCATAAAAAATATTATCAAATTGAAATAAATGAATATAAAAGAACTTGCCCTTGAAGAATTAGAGCCAAATAACATGGCAATTTTGTTTATGAAATAGTATTGTCCTTACTTGTGCTTCAATTAGACTCATTTCTATTAAAAAAATAAAAATCAATAGAGTTTCTTCTTAAAAATCGAACATCCTAAAATTACAATAATTATAAACCACTAGATACAGCAAGCAATTAAATAAATATTTTCTATCTAAACTAATTCTTAAACTTAATTCTCAAATTAAATTCAATGCAAACAAGACCTAACCATTATTACAAATTCTCAAGTATAATATTATCTAAATTTTTGTTAAACTATCTAATTAAATTAGAGCAAATAAATCACTTAAGTGGAGAGTGAAAAAAAGGACATAATGTGAGAAAATAAATTAAAAATTAATCAAAGAAAATAAATTGGGCATAATCAGTGGCGAATCTAGGACCCAAACCTAGCAGGGGCAAGTTTTTTTTTCCCTTCAAGAATGGTTATGTATATATAACCATGTGAAGTTATATCCATAGATATTAAAATTATATAAACATTAATTTGTTTGTATAACTATTCAAATTATTTGTAAGAATATATTTATAAAATTGAATAAATTGTATTTTTTTATTTTTGATGAAAAATTCTATAAATTAATATGATAAAAATTTGATTTATAAGCTTTAAATGATTATTATTACTTATTTAATATTGAGCAAATCGTATGCATTTGCTTGAAGTTTAAAATAAGTATGTATCTTATATTTTATATTGATCTCGATATTAATTTTCTTTTATCAAGTTATTTTATTTTGTATTCAAATTCAAAATATAAAAAAATTTATAAACCATGCATTGATCATAAATCAAGTTTAATTCATTGGAAATATATAATATAACAATATTAGGCAATTTTTTTTACTTGAATGTCACATGCCTAAAACTATATCTTAATAAAAAACATATCCTTGGATAAAAATAACATACATTGACACACACAAAAACAATATAGGCTTCTTTAATTTTCCTCAAAAAATAAAACAGCAATAACATTTTTTATATTTTTATTTTGTTTTTGGTGATATAGCATAATATGTTTATTTTTTGGATTTCTAACCCAATCAAACAATAATATCCTAACCCAATCTCAACACCTCACATACTTTACCACTCTATTTGTTCCTCGAATTTCTACTTGCATGCAATCAAATATAAAAAATTGAGCTTTAAAAGGGCATTTACCCACATACAGCTTTGAATCAGTGTAAGAAATAGCAAATATCATGTTAGCTCCACAGAATTTTAAGAGGTTCTAGATATTAGAAATCTATCAGGCTTTATTTAGATAAGGAAAGAAATACCTGGGGATAAGAGAAGATGTGTCCGGGCTTCTTCTTCAGTCGTGAGTAGCTGGGCTTCTTTCTTCACAGAGCTGCCTAGAGAGACAAGGAGAAGACAAGAGAGGCAGAGGCAATAAGGAAGCTAGGAAACGAGAGATAGAGACCGAGGTAGGGAGCTGAGACGAGAGGGAGTTAAGATGCAGACAAAGACAAGAGATGAGGGAGCTGAGACGAGAGAAGGAGCTGTAAGGGTAGGAGCTATGAGTTGGAGGTAGAGACAGCATAATGACAAGACATGGAGCTAAATTGGTTTTAAAAATTACAAAAGTGGACATGTAGAAACTAAAAATTTGATACACGTCCCCCTCCTCTAAGGGGGATGTGGATTTTAAATCCACATCATCTATCTGAATCCACGTCCCCCTCATAGATAGGGGACGTAGATTCTTTTACAGAATCCACGTGGATTGTTACAGCAGCTATGTCCCCCTTATTTATGATGGATGTGGATCCTATAATAGACCATGTGACATCTATAGAAGCCACGTCCCTTTAAATAGGAGAGGGGCGTAGCTTATTAAAATTTTAAAAAAAAAATTCAATCCACGTCCTTTTTTCATTTGGGTGATGTGGATTGTCTTCTTTCTAAGTTTCATTTTCAAAATGCAACGTGAATTAGGGTAGTAGAATTTCCTTTTTGTAGTAGTGTTCCTACAGAAGTTCGAATGGTTAAGTATAGACTAATTGATATTGGCCCTAAAAAAAAGTTTATGTGAAGAGGAAAAGAAAACTTGTAGCCTCTAGAAGTTACCTTTAATGCTTGGAATGTAATATCCATGTCTGCAAGATTTTGTAGCAACTCCACCACATAATCTCCAGGATGATGAAACAATGGAATACATTAAGATTCTAATTAATCATAAATTAAAGCAAAGTGAATATAAAGGGAAAAAATCAAGCAACTAGACCTGTTCGAGGTCCTCAAGTTGCTCTTTGATCTCTTGAATCTTCTTTTGCTCATCATCAAGAAGGCCTCCATAAGGATGTATAACTTCATCATCTTTATTGATAGAGTGCGACATTATAGGTGAGGCATCTCTTCCAATTCAGGAGTGCTTTATTTCTTAATTGGAGCACTTAGTTAGTAAACATTGGACTCAAGCCGAATCGCTTCACAATTCCAGCACAGTTCGGGAGTTGAAGTGGCTTTGTAGAGATGCCAAACGATTCCATTCCTTCGATGCTTTAACTCGTTGTGGTACTCAATGGAAGCCATATTGATTGTAGTGCCAATGAACATCCATACATATATACTAGAAAATTATAATATTGATTAAAAGTCATCCAAATTTATATTGTTCCCAAACACTAAATGCAAACACAAGGACTAATGAAAATGACTGGAGAGGAGTTTTGCATAGAAAAAGAAACGCACAGTAATCTTTAAAAATTTTAGGTTTGCAACTTTTGAAATAGTAGGTTCTGATACCACACCATGTGATGTAAATTAGATGGCTTTTGATGAGGTCATGAAACAGTACAGATCAAAACTGCAAGAACAATGATAATAAAATGAACCCATACAAAATGAAGCAAGAAAAGGTCATAGATTTAAGGTATGGCCAAAAAACAAGGTTGAACTTTGACACAGAGGGGTCAGAGAAAATGAGTAGAATTTTTTGGAAAAATAAGTGAGAAAGTTAGGGGGTAGGTGATTGATAGGTAAGTAATGGGAAAAAGGAACAATTATATTCCAAATCCTGAATTCCTAATTTTATTTATAATTACATAATATTTAGTGATAGGCGTGCTACGTAGTGTCCATAAGTGGCTAAGACTTGCCTATTTATTTGGTGCTCTCCTTTGAAAACAAACTTGTTCTGAGGGAGATGAACCCACAAGAAGGTAAGGAAATTCAGTGGAAGTTTATAATTCAAAACAACCCCCCTAAATA